GGGGTTAAATTTTGTAAGTCTGGGTTAAAGTCCTTTCTTGTTTTTCTTTTTTCTCTGTGTCTCACTTATGATGGCTCTGTTTTCTTTCCTCGTGACAGGGGACAACTAGTCGAGCAACCCATTTAGCTGGATCTGAACCCTCTCAATCGCATGCTGCCTCTCAGTCAAGAGAGTCCTTTGTGCCAAGCCATGGGAGTGCGTTCCATTTGCCTGATTCCCAGCATTCTTCGACACTTTATTACTCCAGCTCCACTCTGCCAGCCCAGAGAGTGAGCTCTCCACTGTCCATGCAGCAGGTGGGCTCTCCAACCAAGCTCCAGCGGGTGGGATCAGCATCGGAGAGTGCTGGATACAGCACCACACAGCGGGTTTCCTCTCCCAAGCAGTCTCCAAGCCGCTTAGCCAAGTCTTACAGCACCAGCTCGCCAATCAATATCGTTGTGTCTTCAGCTGGACTTTCTCCGTCCCCAATTCGTGTGACCTCTCCACCCACCATACAGTCAAATATTTCCTCTTCTCCTATACATCAGCTAAGCTCCACCATTGGCACTTATGCTACTCTGTCTCCTACAAAACGGCTGGTCCATACTTCAGATCAGTACAGCAAGCATTCCCAGGAACTGTATGCCACTGCTACCCTACAGAGACCTGGCTCCCTAGCAGGTAAATCAAGCCAATCTCTCCTCTTTAATGCTTTAAATGCTTTCTAAATGATTGTTATGGGCAGTCTGTTTCAGTGTAATAATGCTTATAGGTAGGATCCATTATTATTTGTATGTGAAGGGGGAAAAGACTTACTCTGGGTATTTCTGACCTCTTAAAGATAGCATGCTTTAAACGGTTCTGCTACTATCAAGGCACCCATGTAGTGTGTAAGGCAATGAGATTCCAGGATTGTGTCAGTAGAAACTATTACTGAAAGAATATGAAACATTAAGGGGCTAGGAAGATTAAAGAATTTGGTGGGTCTGGTAGAAAACAACCTTATGAGATTTGCAGCTTCAGTTAAATCAGTGACAAACTGTACATCAAAAAGCCATTCCTCTTTGCTCCTATTGATTCATCTAATCTTTTAGATATTAGGTAAATCTTTTTGTTTGCGAAGTTAAAGAGCTTGCGGTATTAGACACTGAATTCCTGTTTCTTAATCAAAGTACAACATCTCTCTCCCCTTCCCCCAAAACACAGTTACATTCTTTCTTTACCTTTTTCTCAGCCACAGTCCTTACCCAGGGGACAGCACTTCCCTTGAGCTGTGAGATGCTGAGTTTATCTGACAATGTCTGCACTGCTTCCTACAAGAGATTTCAAATATGCCAGATTGTTCTGAATTATAGGGTGTTGGCTGTGTGGCTCTTATGACTCTTTGGGGAACAAGTTGGAATTGCCAATTTCATTTCTCCATAAGCACAAACTTTGAGCCAGGACCTGGAATTGAAAGGCTAATGTTCCGTCTTCTAAATCATCTAACTACTGAACTGAACATCTTTCAATGGTGAATTTTTGTCCTCTCTTGAAATCATTTGAGTTTCATTGCTATAGTAACAGCTGCTGCGCTCATATGTTCTCTTGTCTGACATAAATAGATAAATTTGAAGATAAATAGGGCATATAAAAGGACTTGCTGTATATCAGGCAGGTACCCAAGTGCCCTTTTGAAATTTAAAAGGAAAAAATCCCAAACAGGTATCAGCATCAAACATGCAACTGTAGCATTATGCCATCCAAAAATTTAGGGTAGATTAATTGATATGGCTGATTCCTAGATGATGCCAGCTACATGTATCTTCTTTTTTTTCCCCCTAAAAAATTATTTGGAAAATCTTCCTCAAAACAAATTGAATCAAGTAAATCTGACTAACAGAAGTATCAGTATTTAAAGCATTTAATTTCTAGATTTGGTTCATGTAAAAGTAGTTATCACAAGGGCTAAATGAATAAGGTGCAAATGGAGAACACCACAAGTTGACCACTGTGGCTATCAAATACTCTTTTTTTTTCTTTTGCAAATAATGGAGCACTATGCCTTGCCATGGCATCACTCTTCCTCATGGCTCAAGGAACACCCCCCCAGTCTGAAATGTTACCATGTAGAATAGTTATTACAAGCATGTTGAAAAAATTCCAATTTTTCATAATTGAGTTTTGTTGCCTGTTTATGGAGTGGGAAAACTGGTGTATGCCATTTAACATTAACAGTTCTTTCAGGCTTATGTCATAGTCCAGCCCATATTCTGTGGGTGTGACTGTAAGGATTCCTCTGACTGTTTTTTTACTGTCTGCAACTAATTTGTGGAGTGGTGATCTCTCCTGATCTCAGTTTCTATTCTCTCCTTTTACTTACTTTAGAGTTGGGATTTATGTTATATTGTCCATCCTTGAAAGATAAAGGCATTTTCTTTGGTCCAGTGATGCTGCCCTTTTTATTGGCCAGATAGTTTGCTGCAAAAAATAATGAGACATTTCCATTCCTCAGGGCCTGACTAATCCCATCCCCACTAGTTTCAAAATGAGAGCTACTCATGACCCTCATTCTGATCTCAGAAACAAATTGTATCCCACTGTACTGTTAGGCCACTAGAAAGCACATGCACACTCGCATGCATGCTCTCTCTCTTTTCAGGTGTTTGCTGTTTCCTGGCCTCAAAGTGTTAAAATTATAGTAGACTCATTTCTGTATTTTTAGTTTGTTTAAAAAATTAAAAATTGATTTCCTCCATGATATCAGTTTTGAAAACAGGCAAAATTTGGACTTCCCATCCTTGGAGCAGCAGTCTTAGAAAAAGGGGATTGCATCTTTTTTATTATTATTGTCTTTGTTTTTTCATGATGCATCAAGACAGTCTGAAAAATTTATTTTCCACAGCATGTGTTTCTGCTTATGAGTGGTGGGTTTTTTTACATTTGAAATTCAGGTCTTTTTAGAAAAAGAGGACAACTGTTTGGTCCCTGGAAAACAAGCTAAAAGATGGTACTGCAGGAGACAAAGTTAAGCAGCACTATGCTTTCTTAATATTTATTTTATGCCAGGCACTAATTAATACTCAAGGCAAGTTGGGGTATTAAAGTGAAAGCACAGTTACCCTTCCAATTTTGCTGGTACATCTCTCAATGTACTAAGATGTCCCACAATTTTATCTAGCCAAATCAAATTTGGCATTCCTGTTTTGTTCTTGGTTTTTTAACTGTACTGCTTCTTTTGGGCTTAGGTTGAGGAACATTTTGCCTTGCTTTATAAAAGATAGGAAAACATAAATATTAATTTAAAAAATAGCTTGTGGATTACTTAAAAATGCTCAGCAGTGGTTTTTTAATGCTTTGAGCATTATCCCTCTCATTCCTTATGTACTGACAGCAGTCACAGGCTATGGCATCGCCACTTAGAGGAAGATTGACATTAGCAAGCTTACTTGCAGGTCCTTCTGGGCCTACGTCTTGATCTGTCATGTGCTTAGCCTCCTTTCTGGAGCAGTGTTTTCTGGATATTATTGACTCTGGACATATTGTTTGACTGAAGGAGTTTGTGTGTTATTGTTAGGCGCAAAATGAGTCCTTACATAAGTTCTTCCCAGCCCTTTTGTGCTGAGCAGGTGTTTTGTGGGTTTGATTTTGGAATATACTGTAGTGCTTTTGTTGTGTGTGTTCTTTAACAGGTTATGATTGTAGCTTACAATGTACCTGCAGAAGGCTTTTTATCCCAAGTTTTCTATGTATATTATGGCGTGGATGGAAAATTCCCCATTTTCCTCCCTCCCCTCAACAAAAGACCCCTTCCTGTAAGTTGCTGAGCATCTTGAGCTTCAGTGATGGTCTTTTGAGAGATGGAGGAACTCCTTATTTCACTCAGTATTTGTAGGAACAGGATCTTGCACTTGAACAAATAGATTTGCAGGTTAAGAGTTGGGGGGTACTGACTCTAGGTGATCATTGTTCATTACAGAAAAGTGTATAGTTCCTTGAAATGTCAGGTGTTGCTTTGCATAGGTTATTTGCTGGGTGGAAAGGAAACTTCTCCATGATTAGAACTTCATATTATATTCTGAAGAAAGTAGTTAGTAAGCACTGCAGAGCTGTAACAAGTGTTGTATTGATCAGAAAATCCAGGGAATTCCTGAGTTACTGTAGCAAGTATGAATTTGCTGTTGAACCATGCCAGTGCCACATTCATCTCTTAGCAAATAACATTTTGTTATGAATACAGAGAGATGGCTATTGCTGTACTTTAAATAAACTTCTGTTTGAGCAAAATCTAAGTGGAACCAATAACTTTATTATGCTTTTTTTATAGTGATTGTCGGACTTTTTTATAGTCATCAAACATTGCTAGGACATCAGTCTGCTGTTTTATACTCTCCTACCTGTCACTTTTTGTGTATATTTTCTAGCATATTATGGCCTTTACATAAGTTCATAATGTTAAGCAATTGCTTGAATTCACCAGTCAGTGGATTTAAAAATAAATCTATATGAAAGACTTTATGGGATGGGGCACCATGTATACTGCTCTGAGACAACTCCATTTCATTCCTTACAGGTTAAGTTAAGTATTTTTAGATGATGAATTATTTCAACTTCATTTTTTCCTTTGAGTATTTTTCTCCTTTGAGGAATTATGTTATTCCTCCTTATGTGGGTTTTCCAGCTTTTGCATTTGAAATTGCAGAACCACTGGAGAATGAGAGCAGAAATATAAATGTTGCCTTTGAGTACATATGACTTAGCACTTTTGTTGTCATTCACTGTATCTTCATATTTATTGCTAGGCTAGAGAACACCTATCCTGGATCATACAGGTGCAATTTGTCCAGTTTGCTTGATATGAAGTGCTGCTGCTTCTCATATAATTCATTTCCCCCTCTACACATCATTAATGTGCTGGAGCCACACAACTGCTTTATATGAAGTGCTGACTTGGAATCATAGAATCATAAAAAATTAGGGTTAGAAGGGACTTCAGGAGGTCATCTAGTCTAACCGCTGATCAAAGCAGGACCATACCCAACTATATCATCCCAGCCAAGATTTTGTCTACCTGGGTCTTAAAAATTTCCAAGGATAGAGATTTCACGGTCTCCCTGAGTAACTTGTTCCAGTGCTTTACTACCTTCCTAGTGAGAGAGTTTTTTCCTAATATCTAACCTAAACTTCTCTTGCTGCAACTTGAGACCATTGCTCCTTGTCCTGTCATCTGCTGCCACTGAGACCAGTCTAGCTCTATCCTCCTGGAAACCACCTTGCAGGTAGTTGAAGGCTGCTATTAAATCCCATCTTGGTCTTCTCTTCTCCAGACTAAATAAACCCAGTTCCTTCAGTCTCCCCCTCATGTGCTTCAGCCCCCTCACCATTTTTTTGTTGCCCTCTGCTGAACTGTCTCCAATTTGTCCATATCCTTTCTGTAGTAGTGAGCTCAAAATGGGACACAGTACTTTAGGTGTGACCTCACCAGTGCTGAATAGAGGGGAATGATCACTTCTTTCAATCTGCTATCAGTGCTCCTACTAATGTAGCCCAGTATGCTGTTAGCCTTCTTTGCAACAAGGGCACACTTTTGGCTCATATTGAGCTTGTTTTCCACTGTAAACCCCAGGTCTGTTTCTGCAGAGCTGCTGCTTAGCCAGTCAGCCCCCTGCCTGTACCACATATGAGATTGTTCTGTCCCTTAT